ACGGACGGAGGAGGCGGTGGAGAGACATTGTGAGAGGAGCAAACGTGGTAGGGGCTTCGCGTCTGGGGGGGCAGGCGGCGTTGTTGTGAGACAGTTCGAGGGTGAGCGAGTGTCTTGAGTGGGTTCTTGCTTGGGGGATTCCCTGCTGCTCTGTATGTGTAGGTGTGACATTCGCTTGTCTTTTCTGTGCCTCGCCTTTTTCATAGAGGCATGGCCCGCAGCTTGACATTTCCGTATAGCCGAAGTGTGGATTCTTTTGATATGCAAAGGTTCCATTTCCTTACTACCTATAGCGCGCAGTCCATAGTATCTGATGATGAGACGTTGACTTCTATCCACCTTCACCAGGTGATTGTCCCCTTTTCGCACTCACTGTCCACTCCCCCAAAAACTCTCGGTCAACTGTCCAAACCACCCTTTCTGCGACCCTTCAATCCCGTACTTTTTCTTATTATACTTCTTCTCCCGCTCATCAAACGCCTCTTGACCATGACGTCTAATATAGTCCTCGTCGTCCTTCCTCCGCGCCGCTTGAATTATCTCTGTTTCCACATCCTCCATGAATCTTTCTCGCTCTTCGCCATCCGACCACTTGCCCTCTCCGAGCAAGATTCTTGTAGCTTCCTCGCGTTCTTTGCGACACGCGTGTGCCGCGGCTCGACCACCCGAGAGGTATCCTAGCGGCAGTCGGAGATGTGCATCACCCAGCCAATCAACGGGATGAAAGCGTATGAAATCTTTGACCTCCCAGTCACAGCCGGTGCTCTTCTCGTCGCTAGCGTTGTCGCCGCCGTTGCCGTTTTCATCGCCGTCGGCTACGTCTGCAGTGCTGCGGCTACAGTTGCACTCCTTTGCCAAGCCAGCAGCGGCAACGCCCTCGCTCACCTTTTCTTGAGCAGCAGAAGCAGCAGGGGGAGGAGGACGAGACCCCATGAAGCACGTTGTCTCGCACGAGAAGAGCGAAGACGACACGACCGGGTTCGTGCCGTTGCCTTCATTGACATGGACGAGCCTAAGCTGCGTCCCGATCAAGCCGTCGATGACGATCGGGTGCCGAAAGTAGTGGCTGGCGGCCGTGTTGTTCTCTTTGATGATCGGCACAGGGGGTTGACGCGTTGATTTGGAGCAGAGGACTGTGATGACTGCAGCGTAGACTAGGACGACGAAGCAGGCGATGTCAGTTACGACGTCGAGGAGCAGCATGGCTGACGCTTCTTGATTGTTGATACCTGTGTTGGAGTGGTGGAAGTGGAGGACGTGGATGCAGGTTGTAAGAAGTTGCTGTGTGTTATGACACGTGTGTAGAGGGGTTTTTGAGGGATGTGAAATGGAGAGGAATATTCTAAGAAATTTCGGATTCGACCAGAGACAAAAGTAAAGGAGAGGTGAATGAAGACAAAAGATGGCAGTAGAATCAGGTGAATACAATAAGGTGAGACATGTTGGAAAAGGAGAGACAGTGTCACCGCTTCCCGCGCTTTCCTCCGGCCTGGCAAACATTCGCACCAGCAACGGCCTCATATCCAAGATTCCCACACTGCTTCCTCCCTTTGGCGTCTTCCCATGGTTTTCCCATAGCCTTGGTTCTGATCCTGTGGTCCTCCTCTGTCATGTCCGCCACCACCAGCGCCACAGCAAACTCCATCTGGTGCTTGCAGCACTCCCATGCGGGATTGGGAGTGAATATCCAGCCCTCTGGTGCTCCAAGGTACCACTGTGGGCCGTTCCCGAAGTTTTAGTAGACCATGAAGTCGTAGGTGGAATATGGGCATTTGCAACTGCAAGCGGAACACAGAACGGGTTTGATGGCGTGTATGAATTCGTTGGCATAGCGAATGGAAACTGGCAGGAGGTTTGTGGCCGCGTAGATTGCAGCGATGAAGAGAGCGATATTGACCTTGGTTTCGAGTCTCATTTTGAGAGTCGACGATCAATTGGATTTAAGTTTGAGCAAGTGGAGCTGAGAGATTGCGCAAAAGTGGCTAAATGGGAATTTCTCAAGACGTCAAGTAGGAGGGAAAGAGATGCCTGAACTGGTGTGAAGACGGGAAAATGTCCATCCAGATAAGAATGGAGTCTCAGCGGATCACTGAATGGAGAAGAAGCAGAAAGACGGTACAAGAAAGAGAGACCTCATCACAAGAAGTTTTTAGAAATTGATGACCACGGAATAGAGAGGTCAAAGGCGATATAGAGTGGAAGGGTCCATGTTTTTCGGTCGGCGGCGTTGTGGACTGTTTGCTTTCCGGGACAGAGAAGGTGATCGAGACTACAAGCACAGCGTCAGCACAGAGTCCCGTCCGGGGGGATCTCACGAGAAATTTCAGGAGTAGCTTGTCTGAAAATTCTAAGCTCTTGCTGTCATGGCCGGTAGGTTGGTGTTCCTGTTCGGTGCTTCAAGCCTTCTCGACGGATGCTCCTGGTGGATACAAATACTCGACCGACCATGCTAGCTAGCAGCGGTGTCAGGTCAGATGAGGACAGGTCAGCCCAGCTCAGCCCTGCAGGTGTTCCAGTAACCCAACACGGCGATGCATTCAAGTACGACGAGGACAGCTTGTGTGTTGCCTCTCGCAGCCAGCCAGCAGCACCCGTGGAGCGGCCATGACTAAACTGCACGGGGGGCCGAGGGCATTGCAGGCGATGGTTCGGAGTCCGACACACGAACTACAGCTGACAGCCCAGTACCGCTCAGCTCAGCATGGGAATGCAGGGCACGCCTGGCTAAGCACCGCCGCTAGGCTGCTTGCTACTTAAGACGTCGCCGGCCATGGACCTCTGTGTCCAATTTCTACCTTGATGCAATGCTCGCTGGCCTGATCATCTTTGTCGGACACTCGGCTGCGACAGCGACTGAAAGACAACAATTGCAGCTTTTGCTTTGGGTCCAAGCTATTTGAGCGTTCCATCTTCCAATCTTTCAGCTGCACAGACAGCGTCAACCCGCTGTGCAACCACATTCCAGGATCGGCATACAACCGCTCAGGCACATCGGTTCAAAGACGGACGGCGAATTGCTGCAACACCTTGTCAATCGCTGAGCCAACCATGGGTACCACGGCCACGCCCGACTCGACGCTGCATCTCCCGCGGATACTGTGTCTACACGGTGAGTGGAAGCAACTTGGTCTCTCGAAAGGCGCCGACTTCAAGACCGAATACTCCGACTGCCCGCTTGCGGATCTGGGGTTGGAGACGTGGGGCTTCAGGTCCCCACCGCACGCCCATTGACCTGTTCCCCCGACTTATTCTGTCCCAATCTCTCCCCCGTCGAGACTCGCGGCTTGCATTGTTCGAATTCTGAGACCACTGCTTACAAGGCATGCGCAGGTGGCGGCGTGACGGCCGAAATCTTTCGTCTCCAATCTCGCGCCCTCCTCAACCGCCTCCGCACATCATTCCGGCTCGTCTTCGCCGATGGTCCCTTTCTCTGCTCGGCCGGGCCGGGCATCGTGCCCGTATACGCCGATTTAGGCCCCTACCGCCGCTGGCTGCGCTGGCTGCCGCACGAACACGCCGAGGTTGATGCAGGCACCGCCGTGGAAGAGGTGCGGTACCAGATGGAAGCGGCCATGGCCGAGGACGACCGCTTGGGCGCGGACGGCGCGTGGGTCGGCGTCATGGGCTTCAGCCAGGGCGCCAAGGTTGCGGCGAGCCTGCTATTCGAGTCGCAGCGGCGGCGAGCAATAAAGGAGCTGGGTGGTGGGGATGAAGAAATCCAGGGTTTCGAAGGCGAGGGTGTCAAGACGGTCTTGTGGGAGCAGGACTGGCGCTTTGGCGTCTTGATGGCTGGACGCGCCCCGCTGGTCTCGTTGGCCCCTGGCGCCGAGTGCGAGTGGTTCCAAAATGCCGGCGAGTGCGATGATGGCACCAAGGGACTCGTTGACGTGCCCAGGGAGTGGAAGCTCACGATACCCACACTCCATGTGCACGGTTTGAAGGACAATGGCCTGCACTTGCACAGGCGATTGAGTGAGCGGTATTGCCCCAAGGACCGCAGGATCGTTGTCGAATGGGACGGCGACCACCGCGTCCCAATCAAGAGCAAGGACGTGGAGTTGGTTTGCGAGAATCTGGTAGAGGTGGCGAGGATGGGAGGTGTGGAGCCAGGCGTCGGCATCACCAACAAATAAAGACATGACAAAGAGTTCCGATATCAGTGCTGGTAGAGTTAGTAGGCTCAAAGGAGATATCCATTAGACTTGGCACGTTGAATACTTAGATAGAATCATCTTTAGAAAAATTACCGAGGCTTGAAGAATCAATCTCTCGAGACAGAGCTTGAACGCTTCTACTCCCGTCTTTATTAGATATCTGAATTGCCCAGAGGTCTTGGGCCCAAGATAACTTGAGTACTTTGCTTCCCATTCATTGCATGCTGAAGCTTATGAATGCTCCCTCCCTGATCCCGCACATTCTACGCATGTGCATGGTGACGGGAAGTTGCCTCGATTTTATACGAATAGACAGAAAAGCCGAGCTAGCGCCCAAGCATCTTTCCATCGCCGTTGCCTGGCTTAATCTCAACTGCCGTCTCGCAAGAAGCCACCAGTCACTTTCACATCGCATGGGTGGTTCACAGCTCGAGCACCGAACTCTCTGTCCAAACACTGTGGATAGACAACGCATCTAGCCCGCCGTCAATCAGTTCATTCCTCTTGCAATCCACCGCCGTACCTCTGCCAATGTCAAGTCCATCATTCCGCTTTTGACGCCACGAAAAGGTCTCCACCGAATCCCTAGCATCACCAAGTTTCCCCACCAGCAACGCCGACACTTCAACCCCATCATCCACGCAACTCTGCAAAAGAAAAATAAAACATGCTCTCGGTACATCGTCCACTAACCTCATCCCTCTCTATTCCGCCATCTTTCAGCAAGTCTTCGCGCCCGAGAGTCCCCCAACCCACCGAATCGCTCACAGGCCACTCCTCGGTCAAAACAACATCCCCAGACACCACCACGACCTCTTCGGACGGCCAAAAATAGGCAAAAAGAACTGCGTCGGCCGGGAATCGAACCCGGGGCTCATCGAGGTGTCACAGTGATGATCTTTGGATTATGTTATGACTCACGTCACGCTTAAGTCATGTGCTTGGCAACGATGAATTTTACCACTAAACCACCAACGCTACTGGTTGTGATTGACCCAGACCGTTTGTTTATTCAATCATACCCTGCAAATTGTGTCTGCGTCAGCAAGTAAACCTTGAACAGTTTTCCAACCGAGATCGCCAAAGTGAAAAAGAAGGGCCGGAGAGCGGTCTGGGCGCAGCAATCGGCCAATGAGGTGGAGAAGAGTCGCCGGGTCCCTTTGTTGTCGGGAGGAGAGTCGTAGCAGGATAGCTCGATCGTGGCACAGGACTGCATTTGTCTGTCCGGGTGGCTGAGAGCTGCTTGTGCTAGGCCTAGTGTTAAAATTCGTGGCGCGCACGATAAAAGCAGGAAGGCGGATAGAGAGCGTTTGGCGCTTCAATGGGCACTTGCCGGGCAGTATGCAAGCTGGTACACACCGCAGGTCTCAAGAGCATTCAAAATCCAAGACTTAGACATCAAATTCCGCGTGTGTTGCGAACTCTGCTGTCAAGCTCTGATCTCCCGCCTCCCTACCTTTTTTTTTTCACACAACGACTGGAATGCGTCCATGTCCAGGGCCCATTAAGAAGAACCTCCTGCGGTATTGCCTCTTTGATACTTGCATCATGCTGTGGTTCTGCCAAGTGTTGGTCACCCAACTGTTCCCCGTTCCCCCTTCAAGCTTGAACTTGTGTCTGTTTTCAAATTGGATAATGTACATGTATTGATAGTACTCCTTTTTTCCCTGCTCCTAGCGGAAAGTGAATGCGGCGTTGCAGGCCGGGTTGTTGCACCTGCCCTCGACTCTTCCTTGGTCATAAGTCTGGACCGCCAGAGTCGCCGGCCCCGACAGCCCGTCCCTGAAGGTTATATCGCAGAACCGGACGTGCGGGCAGATGGGCGTCCTGAGGGCTGCCAGTTGGTCCCGCATGCGATCGAGCGGCTGCCAGAGGCGGCTGTCGATGTCTGGCACTATGTACTTGCAGGTGTGGGTGATCTCGTCCCCGGCGCGCGAGAGGATGTGCCCATAACCGTGTCGCTGGCGAAACTCGATGAGGGGACCTGTGGCTTGTTCGGCGCATGGGAGGCAAGCGGTGCCCGGGCCGCCGTCTCTTAAGGCGCGCATCCGGTGGTAACCCAGATTGAGATGCTCGCATAATCGATACACGCGTTGGCGCAGACAGACGCGGTTCCAGGCGTTGTTACAGAGCTGGTCTTGGGGGAACTCCTCCGGAGGATGTACCTCATTACAGAATGCGCAGAATAGCAACGTCGACTCGGGGTTCTCTGCCTCCACGAACCGGCAGACACTGTCCCATCGAAGCCGTATGGCCATCTCTTGGACCCCCCGTAAGCTGTAAAGCGCCAGCGGTAACCTTGAATTCATGTAGCGCATTCTCCAGTGCGATGCACGGTACGCCAGGCTGTCCTCATCATTCAGAAACTTCTCCACGTGGAGCAAAATTTCGGGTGGAATTCTCAGAATCGGCGCGGTTGTTGACGATTCGCTGGACTCCAAAGTTGTTTGGGGCTCCCCAGCCTGGACGGCTTGTGTTGGGGACTCTGTCGATGAAGAGTCTGACTCAGAAGACTCTGACGATTGAGAAAACTCTGACAATTGAGTAGACCCTAACGATTGGGTTTCCTGCGAATCCGTCTCTGTCCGACATAGAATACAGCGAACCGCTTTGGAGATATTTTTGAGGCAACGACTGGTCTTGGCCATCTGCGGAATCGTTCGGTCTTAGCATTGCAATCCGGCAGTCAATGTAGGAGGTACAAGTCATGTAGCCCCAAATACAAGAGCATCGACGGAACACATACCGGGCCATCTGTCGACTGTTGGTCGTTTCGATAAGATTGTTGGTGAGATAGATTGTTGCTTGGTTCTGGTCTTTGGCTACCCATCGATGCCCCTTGTAGCCCAGTGCTTGCTTAGGGCAGGAGCTTTTGGTGCCAAAAGTCCCTCCCGCAAGGTGAAGGTGCCATCTTGGATACGGAAGGTATGCGTTCTTTCGACGAAGCTGGTTTCGTTTTTTCCGAGAAGAACCGCCGGCATTTGTCCCGCTTTTGAGAATCTCCAACAAAACTCTTGGTCTTCCAGGCGGACAGCACAGCTCCTGTGTCTGCAGACCCGAAGCCTTCCTGCACGCATCACAATATGGTGCACGTCGCTGACAGCGACGGGTCAGTGGAAATTCTATGTATTCTTCAAGTCTCTCGTCCGACTCTAAGTACGCCATCGCAATATGTGCCACTGCCTAGAAGGCCCATGCCTTTCATCCAACGCATGTCCGAAGCGCTCTGCTCATCGCCCACCAACATGATGTTTTACCGAAAGAGGGTTTGTACCAAAGTTTATGAAAGCAACGAATGAAGATTGGTGCTAGGGGTCGGATTGACAGAGGAAGCGTCCAAGTTCGACTGCTTCGTCTCATGAGTTGTCGAAACAAGCGGCGCAATCAATCACTCGTCATCATCGCCAACCTCGTCGAGCCCCAACCAATTTGCCCTACACCGAGCCGCCTCCAGCCTGACCGCTCTTTTACCGTCGTCGAGCGCGGCAGTCAGCTTCTTGACGACCTGCCTCCGGAACGGCAGCACAATCTCGCCCCGTAGCTTCTCAGGGACCAAACCCAAGCACTTGAGCGAGACTGCCCTGACGGCTGCGGAGTTGGCTGGCGTTTTGACTTTGGGGCTTCCGTCTGCATTCTTGATAGAAGCGGTCGCCGTGTTGAGCAGCCGCGAAATCAGACTCGATGCGTGCTCCTCCAGCGCGCGAGGGTTGTGGGTCAGCACGGCAGTCAGCGTGTCGATGGTTGCGTACTTGACATCTTCGACGGCATCCGTAAGATCCAGAGATTGAAGTAGAAGAGGGTTGAGGTTTGGCAGTTCTGATTCGATAATCTCATAGGGTACCCACCGCACAATTCCCGAAAGTGCAATGAGGTAATTTGTCTTTTTCGAAGGATCGGCAGATTTGAAGGACGTAGCAATTGCTGGAACCAAAAGGTTGAAAGTCTTTTGCTTGTGCAGTCCAGAGATGGTGCAATGGTTTGCTTTCGAGAGCATGTCGTCGGGAGCGAGAAGAGAAGCAAAGCCGCGTGCGACAGTCAGTCCATGCTTTGAGTCGACGAGCGAAGTCAGCAGCGAGGGCATGACTGTGCTAAGCATGGGTGCGTTGCGCACTGCAAGACCTTTGATGATAGAGAAGAGGATGCGGATGTTGGCGTTGGAGAGCTTTCCAGGGGAGACAAGGTTGGTTGGGTCGTAGAGGATCTCGCCAATCGTAGTTTTGAGATCCGGAGTCTTGATGAATTTGTTCACCACAAGAGCGATTTGTGAACCTGTTGCGAGGCGTACGCGCAGCGAAACATCTTCCAGTGCCGCCATCGACATGAGAGCTGAGAGAAGATCCTTTGGCTCCGCGGGTGGCGGCACGTCCTTTCGTATTGCCGCCAGAATGTGCGTCGAAACAATCAGTTTCCGCCGCTGCTCCGCAGATGCATCGATCTTGAAGGGCGGGACTTGTGCCAGAGTCTGCCCAGTTCGAAGAGTATAGACTTCAGGGACAACTTGAGACTTTTGGAATTCAGAAGTTTGTTCCCGCAAAATCTTGTTCAAGAGGCGGCCCATGATATCCAAGGCGATCTCATCGTCGAATGGGGAAGAACCGGGGACTTGGATCTGGGCCAGGAGGGGTACGATGATGTCGTCAAAGTACGGACAATGATCATCAGTGCCCTGAAGCTTGGCAGCACCCTGAGAAAAGGTGTAAAGTAAGGCAGACAAGAGCGCAAGGATGTACTGTTTTGACGAGCCCTGGTGAACAGCACTGTTTATCTTGTTCTTGAGCCTGAGGACGACGGTAGAAAAGATATGTTTTTCGCTGGAAAACTTGGCAAAAGCCTCAAGGACAGGCACATACGCATCCGAGCCTTCTGTGTCCTTGTCTGGTAGCTCGGCCATGAATGCTGGGAAGGCCTTGTCGATGACTAGCTGCGGCTTTTGATGTGCGATCTCCACAAGGCCTGTAATGGCTGCAGATTTGACATCGTCCTTTCCGTACGACTCTTCGGAAATGACGACATCGTGGAAGAGAGTAACCACCTTCGTAATTTCATCGTCGTCCAAGACAAGTCGGGCTTTGGAGAGTTGCAACAGGCCGTCAAGTGCTGCTAAACGGAAAGAGACCTCCTTGACAGAAGCGGTCGCAAGACCGTTGCTCATGACCTCCAGAGCTTGATCTCTGAACTTTAGCAGCGCAGTGTCGGGCGTGCGTGCTCCTGCATGGATGACATTGCTGTCTACAAGTCGCCACTGCCCGTAGACATCGATGTCGGCTCGGATCAACTGGACAAGCACCTCAATGAGGCCTCTTCTCTTGGCCATATTGTCCGCTGTTTGGTAGAGCGTGAACAGGGTCGGCATCACTGCACTCAGCACAGCGTCTTCTACGAGTGGTGACACTTTAGCGATCGCATGGAGGATTCTACCGGCGGATGCCGATTGCTTGGTTGGAGCATCCTCCAGATGCTCGTTGCATTCCTTGGCAATGGGTTTTATGTAGGCGTTGAGCGAACCAGCAGTGTTTTGCGACAGTTGTCTTGCAATCTCTGCAATGGCTTGCAGTGCTTCTTCTGCAAGGTCGTCTTCCTGAGAACTAAGGACTTCAAATTTGAGAGCGTCCCACAGCGTCACAGCATACAGCGACACCGTACGCGGCCCATAATCCCTGATGCAGGCAGTCAGAGTTTGGAGTACGTCTCTCTGGGATGAGTTAGTCGCAGATATGAGTTGGATGTACTATTCTATACCTTGGTATTAACAGAGGTTGAGTCCAGCTTGTCGAGAAGCGCGGGGAAGGAGTACGGAGCGAATTCTGCAGTGGAGGAGATGCATTCTCGCAGACGGTCTTTGAGATGCTGGGCAGTGATGCCATAGGGATCGTCTGGTGGGGGCCTGAACGTGATGGGAAAGTAGTTGAAGACAGCGTCGAAGAGGTCCTATTTGAGTCAGTGTCTGTTGTAGATCGAGGCATGTTGATTCTCACTTG